GGCTTCTCTAAAATCGATCCATGACTCGATTGTAGAGAGTGGCTCATGCTGCGCCCAATCTAGTGCTGGTCCAGCTAGTGATGTGCTGAATAGCATCATCTTCTTCTCAAAGTCAAAGACTCCATAGGAATCACAAAGATTATCAAAGTGATCCAGATGCTCTAGCGCATACTCTGAAAACAGATGATGGAATTGATCTCTCTTCACGAACTCAATCATCTCAGGGTTAATCTCCTCTTCTGGCGTGGCTAGAAGGTGTTCTTCTCTGTAAGATGCGGCTTGGCTAGATGTCTCCAGGTCGGCTGCTTCAAGGTAGGGAAGAAGTTTCTTCTTTGTCTTCAAGGAGGATAGTTTTGGAGGACTATCCCAAGAAGGTGGTGGTGCTTGAGGGCTTGACATCTCTTGTTCGTCCAAGAGGTTTCTTTGAGGTGGTATTTGGCGAAGTGGAATCGCCTTTATAGGAACAAGGACTTGTGAATCATTTTCCATATCTAACTAGGAAAGCCTGAAAAAGATCAAAAACAAAAAGGAAAAACCAAATCAAAAGGAAAAGGGAAAATAACAAAACTAAAAAGGAAAAAGATAAAACCCTAGACTAGCTCTCTTGCAGGAACTTGTAGGTGACGAATTGGTCCCCGGCAACGGCGCCAAAAACTTGATCGCGGGATCAGGTCTTCCCCTTTCCTATCCCTGATTCTGTAAGTGCACAGGTCAGAAGTAGTAAACGGGTATCGAACACGAGGACCAGATTGCACACTACAAGCTATAAGTTCGAGATCGAGCTAGGGCAAAAGTATAAGGTTTGGTTGAGTGCAGTAAGAGTAAAGGCATGCAAGTTTCAAATAGAATAAGATCAATAGGAGAAAAGGGCTAAGCAATAGGATAGTCTTAAGATAAGCAATTCATGAAGCAAGAAATCAATCAATTAGGGTTACTGCAATTAGGTGTCATTCTAGAACTTGAAACACTAAGGTATGATCATTCCACTGTCGAGGCTCCGACCCCTTTGTTAATCTACCTAGTCGCTAAACTTTTGGTATATCCTTAGGTGATTAAATCAAGCATTAGTTTGATTAAGTTCAATTGTTCACAACCTACAAGTAAATCAACTTTCGCAGTCTAAAAGAGGTTGCCCACCAAATACTAGTTCAGGCGAATGATACAGCACTATCGAGGCTCAAATCAACCCAAGTTCATATGCTTATTGGCCAGATTAACAACAAGCATTAAGTATAAGCAAAGATGGAGATTATAAGTAAAACCCTAATTGTGATCAATCATCAAACATACATGAATGCTATCCTTTGACTTCCTATCACTTAACAAGTAAACTACTCAGACATAGAGAAGGAACACGAATTCATATTCATAAGAACAGAGATTCGAATCCTCTCTAGAAAGAGCACAAGCAAGAACAAAGTAAAAGCAACCAAAACTTTATTAAAGATGTAAAATATATTGTGGTCTCTCTCCTTCTTGAGTTACAAGGCTAAAAAGAAGTATTTATAATACACTAAGTATGAAAAAGCGGCTAGACCTAATCTTGCTAGGTCGGCGCCGGCTTTGGGCTTGGATTGTGCGGATTGGGCTTCAAAAACGGCTTTGGGGCGACCGCGGCGTTCAGACGGTCGGTCGGGACGATCGGCCCGACAGTCGGGTTGTGGCCGTGTCGGAACGGTCGTGGCCGGATGATTTAACGGTCGGCCGGTGTGGTCGGACGGTTGATGGAATGGTCGATGGTTTCTCGGCCGGACTTGGGACGAGCCGGAACCATCGGCCGTGGTACGCGAGATAGGTTACGCGGCCGCGAGGCTTTGTTTCCCGGCTCGCGCGGCATGGTCGTGCGCGGCGAGGCGTGGACGGTCGTGGCGTGGCCGACTGCGGGTCTTAGTTTCCCGGGTCGTGATGCATGATCGGCCGAACGGTTTTGAACTTTGGCCGAGACTTCAGACGGACGGACGCAATTTTGGCCGAGAGCGGAACATGCGTTCCTCGGCCGGCCGTTCTGCGCGGTTTGGGCGTCGATTCTCGATAGATCGGCTTTGGACAGTCTTCGCTCTTTTGGCTATAAGTCCTTTTCTACTCATCCAAATGAGGCCGTTCCAGTTGCGTTGGAAAGTTAACTCAATCAGAGCACGCAGGGAACTAGTCTTGATGAAATCCATTGAGTAGATCGTTTTCTAGCTCCATCCAAAGTTGATGCAGTGGCATTGAACTGGTTTGAAGTCCGGCACTACAAGAAAACAGCGTGAAACTGATGGAGAAAATTGTCGATCAACCGTCGGAAACCATCTATATCGACGGATTTCCGACCGTTATAATTCGTCAATTACAAGTCGTCGGAAAAACAACATTCGTCGGAAATCCGTCGTAAATAACCGTCGGAATCCGTCGAAAATTATTAACGACGGATTACCGAGAGTTTATCGACAACCATCATGGTCGGGATGTTCATCAATAATCTGTCGATAGTAAGCCGTCGGAACCCGTCGAAACAGTTTCCCGGCGGAATACTGAGAGATTATCCGCAATGGTCCTGATCGGGAAATCTGTCGATAATCCGTCAGAAAATGATTCCGTCGGAAAGTCATCGCTTATTTTCTCAACGGAAATTTGTCGGAAATTTATCGCAAATATATCCGACGAATTGTAGACGGAATTAATCAAAATTTTCCCGACGGATTTTGTATTCCTCATTAAACCGTCGGAAATGTTTCCTGTGATTTACGACGGACTTCATGCCTGTTGAAACACTGTCGGAAATATTTCCCTATATACGATGGAAATAAAATTTGTCGCTAAACCATCGAAAATATCCCAATAATTCCGACGAGTTCTAATCCGTCGGAAATTGCCGACGGATTACCGACCGTTTTTGTGCTGTTGAAAACCGTCGGAAATCCATCGAAAAATTACTGGGGCGTGGTGGTGGAACATAAATGGGACCTTTAGCAAATCTGTAGAGGAAAGCTCCTTTGTATCCATTCCAAGTCTTGAAAGCATGTTGGGCGTTGAACTTAGCCCATTCTTTGGCTTGTCCAGCTAAAGATAGTTGGAAAAGTTGTATCTTCTTGGGGTTATCTCCAACTCCATAGTCGTGGCAAAGCTGCTCAAAGTTGCATAGATGCTCCTTTGCACACTCTGAAGTAGAATTGTAGAAAGGGTTTCTCTCCACATGCTTGATTAGCTCTTCAAGATGGGGTGGTATGCCTCCCCATTCTTCTTCTTCACGCTCTCTCTCCAGCTGATGAGAGTAGTGATTGTACTTGGACTTGAAAGGTGGTAGCCTTGCAAATCTCTTCAAGAAGGCTTCTCTAAAATCGATCCATGACTCGATTGTAGAGAGTGGCTCATGCTGCGCCCAATCTAGTGCTGGTCCAGCTAGTGATGTGCTGAATAGCATCATCTTCTTCTCAAAGTCAAAGACTCCATAGGAATCACAAAGATTATCAAAGTGATCCAGATGCTCTAGCGCATACTCTGAAAACAGATGATGGAATTGATCTCTCTTCACGAACTCAATCATCTCAGGGTTAATCTCCTCTTCTGGCGTGGCTAGAAGGTGTTCTTCTCTGTAAGATGCGGCTTGGCTAGATGTCTCCAGGTCGGCTGCTTCAAGGTAGGGAAGAAGTTTCTTCTTTGTCTTCAAGGAGGATAGTTTTGGAGGACTATCCCAAGAAGGTGGTGGTGCTTGAGGGCTTGACATCTCTTGTTCGTCCAAGAGGTTTCTTTGAGGTGGTATTTGACGAAGTGGAATCGCCTTTATAGGAACAAGGACTTGTGAATCATTTTCCATATCTAACTAGGAAAGCCTGAAAAAGATCAAAAACAAAAAGGAAAAACCAAATCAAAAGGAAAAGGGAAAATAACAAAACTAAAAAGGAAAAAGATAAAACCCTAGACTAGCTCTCTTGCAGGAACTTGTAGGTGACAAATTGGTCCCCGGCAACGGCGCCAAAAACTTGATCGCGGGATCAGGTCTTCCCCTTTCCTATCCCTGATTCTGTAAGTGCACAGGTCAGAAGTAGTAAACGGGTATCGAACACGAGGACCAGATTGCACACTACAAGCTATAAGTTCGAGATCGAGCTAGGGCAAAAGTATAAGGTTTGGTTGAGTGCAGTAAGAGTAAAGGCATGCAAGTTTCAAATAGAATAAGATCAATAGGAGAAAAGGGCTAAGCAATAGGATAGTCTTAAGATAAGCAATTCATGAAGCAAGAAATCAATCAATTAGGGTTACTGCAATTAGGTGTCATTCTAGAACTTGAAACACTAAGGTATGATCATTCCACTGTCGAGGCTCCGACCCCTTTGTTAATCTACCTAGTCGCTAAACTTTTGGTATATCCTTAGGTGATTAAATCAAGCATTAGTTTGATTAAGTTCAATTGTTCACAACCTACAAGTAAATCAACTTTCGCAGTCTAAAAGAGGTTGCCCACCAAATACTAGTTCAGGCGAATGATACAGCACTATCGAGGCTCAAATCAACCCAAGTTCATATGCTTATTGGCCAGATTAACAACAAGCATTAAGTATAAGCAAAGATGGAGATTATAAGTAAAACCCTAATTGTGATCAATCATCAAACATACATGAATGCTATCCTTTGACTTCCTATCACTTAACAAGTAAACTACTCAGACATAGAGAAGGAACACGAATTCATATTCATAAGAACAGAGATTCGAATCCTCTCTAGAAAGAGCACAAGCAAGAACAAAGTAAAAGCAACCAAAACTTTATTAAAGATGTAAAATATATTGTGGTCTCTCTCCTTCTTGAGTTACAAGGCTAAAAAGAAGTATTTATAATACACTAAGTATGAAAAAGCGGCTAGACCTAATCTTGCTAGGTCGGCGCCGGCTTTGGGCTTGGATTGTGCGGATTGGGCTTCAAAAACGGCTTTGGGGCGACCGCGGCGTTCAGACGGTCGGTCGGGACGATCGGCCCGACAGTCGGGTTGTGGCCGTGTCGGAACGGTCGTGGCCGGATGATTTAACGGTCGGCCGGTGTGGTCGGACGGTTGATGGAATGGTCGATGGTTTCTCGGCCGGACTTGGGACGAGCCGGAACCATCGGCCGTGGTACGCGAGATAGGTTACGCGGCCGCGAGGCTTTGTTTCCCGGCTCGCGCGGCATGGTCGTGCGCGGCGAGGCGTGGACGGTCGTGGCGTGGCCGACTGCGGGTCTTAGTTTCCCGGGTCGTGATGCATGATCGGCCGAACGGTTTTGAACTTTGGCCGAGACTTCAGACGGACGGACGCAATTTTGGCCGAGAGCGGAACATGCGTTCCTCGGCCGGCCGTTCTGCGCGGTTTGGGCGTCGATTCTCGATAGATCGGCTTTGGACAGTCTTCGCTCTTTTGGCTATAAGTCCTTTTCTACTCATCCAAATGAGGCCGTTCCAGTTGCGTTGGAAAGTTAACTCAATCAGAGCACGCAGGGAACTAGTCTTGATGAAATCCATTGAGTAGATCGTTTTCTAGCTCCATCCAAAGTTGATGCAGTGGCATTGAACTGGTTTGAAGTCCGGCACTACAAGAAAACAGCGTGAAACTGATGGAGAAAATTGTCGATCAACCGTCGGAAACCATCTATATCGACGGATTTCCGACCGTTATAATTCGTCAATTACAAGTCGTCGGAAAAACAACATTCGTCGGAAATCCGTCGTAAATAACCGTCGGAATCCGTCGAAAATTATTAACGACGGATTACCGAGAGTTTATCGACAACCATCATGGTCGGGATGTTCATCAATAATCTGTCGATAGTAAGCCGTCGGAACCCGTCGAAACAGTTTCCCGGCGGAATACTGAGAGATTATCCGCAATGGTCCTGATCGGGAAATCTGTCGATAATCCGTCAGAAAATGATTCCGTCGGAAAGTCATCGCTTATTTTCTCAACGGAAATTTGTCGGAAATTTATCGCAAATATATCCGACGAATTGTAGACGGAATTAATCAAAATTTTCCCGACGGATTTTGTATTCCTCATTAAACCGTCGGAAATGTTTCCTGTGATTTACGACGGACTTCATGCCTGTTGAAACACTGTCGGAAATATTTCCCTATATACGATGGAAATAAAATTTGTCGCTAAACCATCGAAAATATCCCAATAATTCCGACGAGTTCTAATCCGTCGGAAATTGCCGACGGATTACCGACCGTTTTTGTGCTGTTGAAAACCGTCGGAAATCCATCGAAAAATTACTGGGGCGTGGTGGTGGAACATAAATGGGACCTTTAGCAAATCTGTAGAGGAAAGCTCCTTTGTATCCATTCCAAGTCTTGAAAGCATGTTGGGCGTTGAACTTAGCCCATTCTTTGGCTTGTCCAGCTAAAGATAGTTGGAAAAGTTGTATCTTCTTGGGGTTATCTCCAACTCCATAGTCGTGGCAAAGCTGCTCAAAGTTGCATAGATGCTCCTTTGCACACTCTGAAGTAGAATTGTAGAAAGGGTTTCTCTCCACATGCTTGATTAGCTCTTCAAGATGGGGTGGTATGCCTCCCCATTCTTCTCTTCACGCTCTCTCTCCAGCTGATGAGAGTAGTGATTGTACTTGGACTTGAAAGGTGGTAGCCTTGCAAATCTCTTCAAGAAGGCTTCTCTAAAATCGATCCATGACTCGATTGTAGAGAGTGGCTCATGCTGCGCCCAATCTAGTGCTGGTCCAGCTAGTGATGTGCTGAATAGCATCATCTTCTTCTCAAAGTCAAAGACTCCATAGGAATCACAAAGATTATCAAAGTGATCCAGATGCTCTAGCGCATACTCTGAAAACAGATGATGGAATTGATCTCTCTTCACGAACTCAATCATCTCAGGGTTAATCTCCTCTTCTGGCGTGGCTAGAAGGTGTTCTTCTCTGTAAGATGCGGCTTGGCTAGATGTCTCCAGGTCGGCTGCTTCAAGGTAGGGAAGAAGTTTCTTCTTTGTCTTCAAGGAGGATAGTTTTGGAGGACTATCCCAAGAAGGTGGTGGTGCTTGAGGGCTTGACATCTCTTGTTCGTCCAAGAGGTTTCTTTGAGGTGGTATTTGGCGAAGTGGAATCGCCTTTATAGGAACAAGGACTTGTGAATCATTTTCCATATCTAACTAGGAAAGCCTGAAAAAGATCAAAAACAAAAAGGAAAAACCAAATCAAAAGGAAAAGGGAAAATAACAAAACTAAAAAGGAAAAAGATAAAACCCTAGACTAGCTCTCTTGCAGGAACTTGTAGGTGACAAATTGGTCCCCGGCAACGGCGCCAAAAACTTGATCGCGGGATCAGGTCTTCCCCTTTCCTATCCCTGATTCTGTAAGTGCACAGGTCAGAAGTAGTAAACGGGTATCGAACACGAGGACCAGATTGCACACTACAAGCTATAAGTTCGAGATCGAGCTAGGGCAAAAGTATAAGGTTTGGTTGAGTGCAGTAAGAGTAAAGGCATGCAAGTTTCAAATAGAATAAGATCAATAGGAGAAAAGGGCTAAGCAATAGGATAGTCTTAAGATAAGCAATTCATGAAGCAAGAAATCAATCAATTACGGTTACTGCAATTAGGTGTCATTCTAGAACTTGAAACACTAAGGTATGATCATTCCACTGTCGAGGCTCCGACCCCTTTGTTAATCTACCTAGTCGCTAAACTTTTGGTATATCCTTAGGTGATTAAATCAAGCATTAGTTTGATTAAGTTCAATTGTTCACAACCTACAAGTAAATCAACTTTCGCAGTCTAAAAGAGGTTGCCCACCAAATACTAGTTCAGGCGAATGATACAGCACTATCGAGGCTCAAATCAACCCAAGTTCATATGCTTATTGGCCAGATTAACAACAAGCATTAAGTATAAGCAAAGATGGAGATTATAAGTAAAACCCTAATTGTGATCAATCATCAAACATACATGAATGCTATCCTTTGACTTCCTATCACTTAACAAGTAAACTACTCAGACATAGAGAAGGAACACGAATTCGTATTCATAAGAACAGAGATTCGAATCCTCTCTAGAAAGAGCACACGCAAGAACAAAGTAAAAGCAACCAAAACTTTATTAAAGATGTAAAATATATTGTGGTCTCTCTCCTTCTTGAGTTACAAGGCTAAAAAGAAGTATTTATAATACACTAAGTATGAAAAAGCGGCTAGACCTAATCTTGCTAGGTCGGCGCCGGCTTTGGGCTTGGATTGTGCAGATTGGGCTTCAAAAACGGCTTTGGGGCGACCGCGGCGTTCAGACGGTCGGTCGGGACGATCGGCCCGACAGTCGGGTTGTGGCCGTGTCGGAACGGTCGTGGCCGGATGATTTAACGGTCGGCCGGTGTGGTCGGACGGTTGATGGAATGGTCGATGGTTTCTCGGCCGGACTTGGGACGAGCCGGAACCATCGGCCGTGGTACGCGAGATAGGTTACGCGGCCGCGAGGCTTTGTTTCCCGGCTCGCGCGGCATGGTCGTGCGCGGCGAGGCGTGGACGGTCGTGGCGTGGCCGACTGCGGGTCTTAGTTTCCCGGGTCGTGATGCATGATCGGCCGAACGGTTTTGAACTTTGGCCGAGACTTCAGACGGACGGACGCAATTTTGGCCGAGAGCGGAACATGCGTTCCTCGGCCGGCCGTTCTGCGCGGTTTGGGCGTCGATTCTCGATAGATCGGCTTTGGACAGTCTTCGCTCTTTTGGCTATAAGTCCTTTTCTACTCATCCAAATGAGGCCGTTCCAGTTGCGTTGGAAAGTTAACTCAATCAGAGCACGCAGGGAACTAGTCTTGATGAAATCCATTGAGTAGATCGTTTTCTAGCTCCATCCAAAGTTGATGCAGTGGCATTGAACTGGTTTGAAGTCCGGCACTACAAGAAAACAGCGTGAAACTGATGGAGAAAATTGTCGATCAACCGTCGGAAACCATCTATATCGACGGATTTCCGACCGTTATAATTCGTCAATTACAAGTCGTCGGAAAAACAACATTCGTCGGAAATCCGTCGTAAATAACCGTCGGAATCCGTCGAAAATTATTAACGACGGATTACCGAGAGTTTATCGACAACCATCATGGTCGGGATGTTCATCAATAATCTGTCGATAGTAAGCCGTCGGAACCCGTCGAAACAGTTTCCCGGCGGAATACTGAGAGATTATCCGCAATGGTCCTGATCGGGAAATCTGTCGATAATCCGTCAGAAAATGATTCCGTCGGAAAGTCATCGCTTATTTTCTCAACGGAAATTTGTCGGAAATTTATCGCAAATATATCCGACGAATTGTAGACGGAATTAATCAAAATTTTCCCGACGGATTTTGTATTCCTCATTAAACCGTCGGAAATGTTTCCTGTGATTTACGACGGACTTCATGCCTGTTGAAACACTGTCGGAAATATTTCCCTATATACGATGGAAATAAAATTTGTCGCTAAACCATCGAAAATATCCCAATAATTCCGACGAGTTCTAATCCGTCGGAAATTGCCGACGGATTACCGACCGTTTTTGTGCTGTTGAAAACCGTCGGAAATCCATCGAAAAATTACTGGGGCGTGGTGGTGGAACATAAATGGGACCTTTAGCAAATCTGTAGAGGAAAGCTCCTTTGTATCCATTCCAAGTCTTGAAAGCATGTTGGGCGTTGAACTTAGCCCATTCTTTGGCTTGTCCAGCTAAAGATAGTTGGAAAAGTTGTATCTTCTTGGGGTTATCTCCAACTCCATAGTCGTGGCAAAGCTGCTCAAAGTTGCATAGATGCTCCTTTGCACACTCTGAAGTAGAATTGTAGAAAGGGTTTCTCTCCACATGCTTGATTAGCTCTTCAAGATGGGGTGGTATGCCTCCCCATTCTTCTTCTTCACGCTCTCTCTCCAGCTGATGAGAGTAGTGATTGTACTTGGACTTGAAAGGTGGTAGCCTTGCAAATCTCTTCAAGAAGGCTTCTCTAAAATCGATCCATGACTCGATTGTAGAGAGTGGCTCATGCTGCGCCCAATCTAGTGCTGGTCCAGCTAGTGATGTGCTGAATAGCATCATCTTCTTCTCAAAGTCAAAGACTCCATAGGAATCACAAAGATTATCAAAGTGATCCAGATGCTCTAGCGCATACTCTGAAAACAGATGATGGAATTGATCTCTCTTCACGAACTCAATCATCTCAGGGTTAATCTCCTCTTCTGGCGTGA